CCCCTTCTAATATTCTTAGGATATAAAGACCCATAACTAACACAAACAGTAAAATCATCCTACATATAAGTCACTTACCACTTGATGTTATACTCAATAATGGAGTCAAGAGAGATGTACTTCTGTGATTTAAAATTCCACAAAGACCATCAAGACATGGCTCAAATATGAAAATCCATGTTGAAATGGTAAATCTATGAAGGAAATCAATGTCTTGTAAATCTGGATCACACATGACAAACTTTCAACAAGACAAATTAGTTATAGACTAAGTAAGAGGACCAGATGGGGAAATATTTGGCGCCTTGTCATACTACATGAAACAAGTGCAGTGGGGTCCCTTTCCAAGAGCCAAACATTTTCCCATCCAGCCTGACTAACTTTAAGTCAATAAGCATCTTATCGGGTAATTTAGTATTAACAACTAGGTTGAAAACATAAATTGGCTACCAGAAAGAGTAAAAAGTCTGACAAAGAGCTAATGCTTGAAATGTCGGCTTTTTTTACTCTTTACAGTGGCCAATTTATGTTTTCAACCTAGTTGTTAACAATAAATTACTTGCTACACTCTCCCACCAGAGCAGCACCACAGTTTATTTAGAAACTTACCCCCTTTATTCATCAAGCATCTTATCACATTGCCAGCATTCTCTCCCTTTCTACTTTTCCTCTTGCATTTGGAAGAATTCTCACAGGAAATGATGTTTTTTAATAAAAATGGGTGAAGCGGCACTAGTCATATGATAAAAATGATAATTAAATAACACACACTAATATCACCTTGGTTTTGTCCTGCTGTGTGCCTCAGCCAGTTCTTCCCTGGGCCATGCAAGTGGTGGAAGAATTCTAGGACAAAGCAAAGTTAGGTATGGTAAGAAAAAAAAGTAAAGCCTTTATACAGGCCCAAGTGGCCCATGGGGCCAGCACTTAACTCTGGTTTCCTAAGCATGAAGTGGCTAGGAGTATTGCTACTCCCCCCTGGATGGGATGCTAGTCCATTGCAGGGTTACCCCAAGCATAGTTGCTGGTACCCATTTGTACACCTGGGTGAAGAGAAGCACTGTGAGAGAAAAGTGTCTTGCCTAAGAACACAACACAATGAACACAGCCAGGGCTGGAACCCGGACCACTCGATCCAGAGTTGAGCGCACCATGGGCCACCGTGCCTCCACAAAGGCATGGTAGGCATGATGATAATGATGATGATAATCATAAATTAAGTGACATTCTTTTCCCAATTTGCAAGTTGAAAATTAGCAAGAATATACCTTTTAACTCCTGTCTCTTTGCCAGTTAGTGCAACGGGAAAAGTTAACAAGTCAACAATATCTGTAAAACCATTATGAGATAAAAATAAACTTAAGTATATATTGCAATCAATGATGATGTGGAAAGAGAAAAGGGGGGTTGAAATTTAAAGGCAATAGGACACGTACCTTTAAGATGCATACATTTCTCAATCTTCCACTGCTTGTGTCTCATCAAATGTTCCCAAGGCCATGAAAAACTGAAGCCTGGTTTTTGAGGTCTTCTCCACGGAGAGGTTAGAGGCAAAACTAGAAAATCCCCAGCTAACACGGGCTTTGAATCTAACCCACCAGGTAGAAGATCAAGCAAAGTTATTGTTACATGAATCTGCTCAACGTAAAGATCTGGAAATATATTCAGAGCTCTGTTTTCAAAATACATCAATGAATCTCGGAGTGTAACCCGCACTCGTAATTTTTGCTTTTTTTCTGAACGATGCAGTACCATAAGCGTGTATTTGAACTCATTACGCTCTTCGCCCTCTATTCCGATTGATATGATTTCTACAGACAAAAGCCTTGCTTCTTTGGTCCTGTAAAGGAGAACAATGTCAAACTCTGCTTCTGCATGGGAAGGCGCGGCAATTATCTCCACAAAATCATAGTACACCTTCATTCGTTCATGAAAGTCTGATGGAATATCCAGTGTAACTCTAGGCTGTGCTCGTTTAGCCTTGTTTGAGATAATGAGCTGAAATAAACAGGAAATAAACAGAAGAACGTCCACGCTTGCCATTTTCTGGCGATTGTCTGCCACAACATCTGACGTACGTTTTCGTTCCGGTGCTTGGAAACCAGACTTTGATAAGAAGAATTTAAGTAACGATCAGTTTTTCGGTGAGGATTTCACACCATCCCTGGTACCATAACGGCTGAAATGGGACCGTAGTTTTGATAACATTTAATAAGGATCACGGACAGACGAAATAATGCCAAGTTGTGCAGTTAACAGTCAGGCGTTACTCCTGCAAGGACTCGGTACAATTTTAATGCACAAGACTCAAATCGCGTTTGAAAACCTTGATTGTATCTTACAGTGCTGGATATCCGAAAAGTTTTAAAGAAATAGAGTTCCGATTAAAAATAATATACGTATATAGATTTATTCATTGGCAAAATTATCGAATATCGAAGTTCATACCCGGTCTCAACATGTCACGGTTAGTGACTTGTAACGCGAGCGTAAAATAACGCAATCTTACCATACCGTTAATAGGGTTTCAGAGAGTAATTCGTTTCCCATAGCAGAACTGCTAAGGGATAACTTGCGTGCATCTCGGAAAATATGACACATAAAAACTTCATTTTAAAGTTATATTAATCTACGATCGGGTTCTCGATAGCTGGTCTAGAATAAATGATTTGTTTTGCTCGAAAAACAGAAACGAACAAAATTAGCCAATAAATCGGACTAACAGCACTCGTACAGTTTTGTTGCTTTAAAATACCGTTTCTTGGATGAATCGATACTACAGAAATTTTTCACCTGCGTCCTTGAAAAATCATCAAGAAATTCTCGATCATTTTTCGAGAAGCTGTTTTTTTTTTTCTTTTTGTATTAAGGTTAAATAACAATATTTTAACACCTCAGAAACATCCTCAATTTTATCTTCAAGCGCTACAACTCAAAAACGAGTATCATAAGCCTGTTTTTTGTAATTAAATTGGGTTCAGCAGGTAAATAGTCGTCTTTTTTCAATTTTCTCCTATTCTGTACTACAGGTTCAGAGCTATCTCACCCTTTCGAAAATTTAAGGTGGCTCTGAACTTGAAGTACAGGGGGTCTTTTTTAGAGATCTACTAAAGATGAATCTTGACATGTTGACGACAATTCAGCGGTAGAAACGGGGGACAACAAAGTTATTTTTTGCTACGAGACAGGCAATTAAAGCATAAATTAAGGCTGTTTCGACGAGGTTGTAATATTTCAATGTTACCCTTAAATGTCACAAAGAATGATTACAATTGTTGAGGAAATGTTTTGACTTTTTTCGATGCCATTTCAAAGAAACAAACTTAAAAATGAATCAGTCCATCAAATAATTGGTGTTCAAAAAGGACAAGATTACTGGGCGCCTTTTGTCGCAAAGCTTTAATATTGCGGTATCTTTTTTATCAGTCAAAATGTATTTTTGCAATAAACGAAGCAAATGAACGGAAATGGTGGTGATCCAAAAGTTAAGAGGATATTCATGATATGATCTGTTTATTTCAGTGATCACATCTCCAATAAGACTAAATATTGACAAAACTCTAGGAAACATGCCCTCACGTGAAAAATTTTAGGGTCCAATTTTCATAACAATCCTTGAATCATTCTCTTAGAGGAGAACGTTTTCGACAACTCTTAAGTCACGTAATAATGTATTTTTAAAATTCTTCTGAAAACAGGTCTATTTAACGAGTCGAATACACCGAAGAAAAATATCTGCCTGAGAAGACATTATGGCGTTAGAAACTGGATTTCATTTGAAAGAAAACGTTTTCATATTTTGGATTGAAATCACTTCTGATTCTTGGATACAGTACCGGATGTTTTCGAATCTTATTAATACACAGTCGCTTAAGTCCTCGAGTTTAAACTGTCGAAGTCGGATTTTTTTTCTAATCACAAAAGATCAACAGATCCTCAAGCGGCACGGAAGAACTTGAGTTGGAAAGCATGAAATGGAGAAAAAGGAATTATACACAATTACAATAAAAACCCCTTGATATTGCACCGAAAAAGATTGGTAAATAGTCGGGGTCCAATTATAAATTAAAAAAGCTCTTTAAAATTAAAAAATTACCGACAACACAATGAGAAAGTAACAGATGTTGATGGCTCATAAATGTTGAGACCTCACTCAAACCATTAAAGAGAGTACACAAACGTGTTGTATCTTTGTTGTTAGAAAGGGTAATTTGCACTATTTATCCCGCTGAACAAAATATCAAATTTTATTTCGGAAAATACTTATGCATCAGTAAGCTAACCAGTTCAAAATCTACTTTTTATTCCCTATAATCATTCCATATCTCGCCTGATGCTTAAGTGTTACCGTAGTTTTCCTGTTTGTATTATCTGTTTCCAATTCGCCAATCAATAAAGCGACAAAATTCGGGCAGTATTAACCACTCAGAAGTCGGTTTTCACTTACTTCGTCTATTGTAATATATCACGCAAGGAATGAATGAATTATGGGTCTAACAAAATACAGGTGCTTTGCTTAAGCAAATATTTCTCAGTTATTAACTACAAGCGCCAGTATTCGGTAACTCGGTCACTTTCAGTTTTTCCTCAATAATGCGCTGAAAACGCAAGGGGTGAGATCTGACACCAGTTTTTTTGAGGGGCTGAAGGATGTTAAAGAAAGGTAGGTAACCCATCTCATTAAAATGTGCTGAAATATTTCAGAAAATTTGTTTAAAATGACGAAATTACACTTTGAGGTGACAGAGAGCTATTCTTCCAGTTACAGATCTTTAGCCTATAGCCTATAGCCTATAGCAGGCCGATACATCACAAAAATTGCAATAGGGCAAGAAAAGTGAAGGCAAGCGGAGAGACGTAGTCATGTTTATCAGTTACTACATTGATTTCGGGAACTCAGAGTCAACCGTTTATTGAAATTTTTATTTTAAAGAGTGTGAGGTCGTTTCCTTTTCTTTTTTTTTTGATGAACATTTTGGTGAACAAGCTCTTTAGGTAAAATTAGAGAGGCCTTCCGACAAAAACCAAAACATAGGAAAAGATATGAAAAAAATTCAGGAAAACTGCTTTTGCTATGAAAAGGTTCTTCAGAAATAGCCGGAAACCTTTATTTTAATAAACCTGCTGAAGTCACCAGCCGACAGCGAATGCCACTCAAAGAGGAAAGTCAGTTGAAATGTTAAATAAAAATTTGTCATATTTCCAACTTTTAAAAATCAACAGAAATGCACTTTCCGAATAATGGTTGCCATTCTTTATGTTTCTGTTTTCTCCCTTTGTAAGAAAGAATAATTTAACGTGATTTTCGATCCGGTTTCTTTACGACAGCGGGAAACTAATGTTTTGAAGTTGCCACGGTACCAGCCAAGGAATTTTTTTGCCTTTCCTAAAAAGCGACGTGGCTACACGGCTTGAAAAAGTACAGTCGATCAGAAATCGATCCTTTAAAGTCCACGTTTGAATGCTGTAGCATTAATCAGTCTACATCATGTCAGGCGAAAGGAAACAATTCCATACGGGACATCTGGAGCAAATACTATTTCTGTTCAGTCTCGATTTTAATAACCAAACAAAAAGTTGCAAGCGCACGAAATTAAAAAAACTGCATGGGTGCTAACTGCCTAAGCGACCTCATATTTCACCTGTAATTACTCCATTGAGTGGAGTTGAAACACACTGTTTCCTTTTTTTGTCGTGAAAACATTTGATTCACACGGAAAAAATTTTAGTTCCTGTTTTTATCCAATCGACAAAATTTTGACTTTACAAACGTGAAATAATATCCTGCGTATTATGATTAAAAATGTGACAGTACATACAATCTATTGGGGGAAAATGACACGCAAATGATAAAGTTTAGCAGTGTAAGTTATCATTTAAGTTACCAAGGCATACATTACGTGAGGGCAAACTAATCGTCACTTAGCAATTCGCACGATAAGGTACCCTTAATAATTTAGTATAAAGACAAGCGTGAAAATGTAAAATTTCATGAGAAAAACGGTATTCAGCGGTGTTTTTTGCTGCAAAGTCAATAATCAGTATTTTCGGGGTTGAGCTGGAGACTTGCAATCTCACGTGATCAACAAGCACATTCAATCGATCAGGTACTTAAATAAGAGGGAATAAAGTAATCATCCTACATCGAAAATGTTCCATGAAAATTTCGCATGCGAAAGAATTGTATCGGGGAAATAACCAGGATTACTCTACCAGTCTTCAGAATATGATATCGTCATTTTGTGTGGTGAGAATATCATATTTATCTCCACATGAGGAGATATCAATGTCACCATGGGGATAAGTGACTGTGTTTTTAGGGAGAGCTTTTTGATTTTACTAATATCACCCAAAATAAATTCGTTATTTTTGACAGAAATTTTTTTTCTCTAAAGGGAATGTGCTTTGTCTGAATGTGCAGGGAATAACTTTTCGGAAACGCATCCTCTACCAAGGGTGAATGTATTTGGTTTACTTTAAATGAAGTGTTAAGTTCGCATATTTTATCGATAACTGTCTAATAAACTGGACATTGCATGACCGTTGGGAGATGCGAATTTTATCGTCAGTGATCGTTAACCAGTGACCGGTATGAAATAAAGATAAATTTTGTATCCCATTGCATGTCATAAAGCACCCTTGTAATAACGTCTACCACTAATTTTCTTTGGATGTCGCCTTCACAGACAGCGTCAATCACCAAATTTCATTACCAAAGCAACATGTCGAGGAACATGTCGTGGAATATTTTCCTTCTCTTGTGTGGTTTGTAAAACGATTCAAGCACCGGGTCTTCCGGTCCATTGCCTCACATTATTTTTTAAAACCAATTTTTTCTTCATCAATCATCTTGTTTAATTTTTGTATGTTCTGATTAGTAAAAATATGTTTAATACATGACTTTAATTCTTATTCGTTGGCTGAGTTTGTCCATACGGTGCTGTGATCTTGTTTATTTATCGCAACAATTTCATGGGCTCCCTTTTAACAACCTTGGATTCCAATTTGAAACCACAAACAAGAAAATCCCAACCATTTAGATTTAACGAAACTTTACCGTTGAAGACACAATAAAAGAGCTTTAATTTGAGACTTGATAATGAATTCAAAACTTACGCACTCTCTTTTATCAACAATTTTTTTTATCGCGTGGCAGTTGTGTTCTAATGATGAGTCAATATCGATCCTGTTCAAACAAAGGTGACCTTTTCCTGAACGAGAAGAACAGTACTACACTTGTGTGTCCATTATGGGGGGCACTTTTTCTTTGCTCTCTTTCCCCAAGTAAACAGTTTCTATCCTGTGTTTGTAATTTATTTACACCTCTATGGGGAGTGAAATATCTTGTCTTATGCTAATTGGAAACATTAACGCCAATTTTCCGTTTTTACAGAAGGCTGGCGTCACTGAACTGCTTATTCAGCCGTCAGCCCTATTTCAGTGATCCTCTGGTTTGACGGATCTTAGTTGTTCACAGTCGCCAGTTTAACAAGAGAGCACGCACCCCTGTGGACAGAAAAAGGATGAACGTGACTCATATAGGCCAGCTGAATGCAACTCCATCACCATCTCCAGTGATGAGGAACGACGTTGAAGTTTACGTACAAGTCGTTGTGCTGGTCATTATTTGCATCGGCAGCGTGTTTGGGAACGTCTTCGTTATAGGAATTGTGATCTTCGATCACAAACTCCACAAGCCCACGTATTATTTCATCAGTAGTTTGGCGTCCGCAGATTTCCTTGTCGGGGCGATTTACATCCCATTTTACATCATGGCATCGCTCGCTCAGAATTGGTATATTTCCCTCACTTGGTGCAAATGGCATGCAACTTTCATTTCAGTGAGTATCAACGCCTCTTTGGTTACGTTGTCTTTGGTCAGCGTGGACCGCTATCTCGCCATAACCGATCCTTTAAGGTAAGAAACAACTGCAAAGATATATACAAAACCGGGAAAAAAAAACCCTTAATTAACCTCGACCTCTCCCGTACTCTCTATTCAAAACTCGCAATCAAAATTTCAACAATGGTTTACAACACGGTTAGCACTTGACTAAGCAATGGCGTCTTGTTTATGTTCTCTTAGTTCAAGTTCCTGAGCACCTCGGTTTTATTTACAAAACACATTCACTAAGTGTTATGTATAGTTGTTGATACTGGCAAAGAGCGGCCGACAATATCCAAATTATGTTTGAATAAAATTACATGTTGATGAATTCCAAAAGCGGGAAAACGAGTATTCAGTAAGTCAAAGCAGCTCATTTTAACCTCCGCATCAGATTAGAAGGCGCCATTGAGTTAAAATACGAACAAGAAAGAAGAGTTCATTTCCTGGACCTTTGTGCCCCTGGTACACCTTGAGATTTGATCAGTAAACTATCGTTAATTCAAGATGCGGACCAAAAAAAGCTAACATGTAATTATGAATGAAGAATCTTTGTAAATTATTCTGCTATGCACAGGGTTTTTCATAAGCGATATTTTAAAAGCAAAATTTTATGGGTCTTCACCAGATTACGACTGAATCAATCTGGATACTAGTGTATGGGATTTAGACACGAAAAAAACATTTGCAAGGCGGAAAAAGGCTTTGATAACAAAGATGGTGTATGTTTGATTAAGCCATAGTTGAAAATGGTTTACAAAAAACAATTAAAAAAGTTAATAGCAAGACTAGAAAAGTAACTAAAGAAAAGACTAGGAAAGACTAAATAAATAAACTCGCAAAAAAATTTTAAATGAAATTTTACAGTTCCATATTAGATTCAATATCAAGGGTTTTTTTAAGAGATATATGAAAATGACGAACGTAAGCCTAAAATTGACAACCTTTTCATTAAAAACGGAAATGAATTTGTCAGTCCTACCAAATTAAGAGATGTAGACTTCTTTGAATAATTAAAATCGCTTGAATTTTCAAAGCTTTCTTTCTGAAGATCGTTAATTTACATGTCGTAATGAACATTAAAAAAAGATACAATTAGCGATCCCTTGAGACAAAAGCAACTGTTTTGATGATTTACAGAGCAGGAGAAACTAAAAACTTCTAACTTAATTTAATTCGATACCGCAGAGTTTACCTTCGATTACATCTAATGATATTGAGTTTTGAAAGATTTTTCCCTCGTTATATAAGAGGCAGGCTAATGAAAACATCTGCGACAAAATGAATCTGCAGAATTGATGAAAAACCACATCCCGTTAACAACATTTCCAACCACTGCATAGAACGTATTTACATTCATTTATTGGCCTGGTTTCTAGGCTGATAACCAGGGTATATCAGTATGAGTCTAATTATTTCATAATCCGCCAGATGGAATCTGTTCTCCTTTTTCCACAATGCAATGTTTAGGAAACACAATCAGGCAGCTACATACAGAGTTGCAATTGTTTTCAAATTCACATAATTTAAAGCAATATCTCAAAAGAGAACTATGCTCCATCAAAATGGTTCCTAAAAACAGATGGGGTTTTCCCACCCTACTGAACAGGCATCATGTTTTTTCGTTTAAAGGCAAGCGGACGCAAGCGCGAGGCGAACGTGAAGGGCGAGAGTCGCGTTCCTTTTCGCGCTCCCTCTCACGCGTGAATATGTTTTCGTGTTTGCCTTGCGTGTAGGTCCGCTTGACTAACTGGTATATTCCTAAGCCGGCTACCCAAATCAAATTCTGTTTCAAGAGCACTCCAACCTTTCAAAACGATATAATCAGTTTTAAAGCCCTTCGAAAACTTGAATATAAAATCGGCGTATTTTAAAACACGGTGTTTAAAACGAATTGCCATAGACAAATTCTGCGGCAAGGAAAATTAGTTTTCCTGATGGTAAAATTTAGAGTAAATTTGAGTTATCAAATTTCATCTGGTAGAAATTCACATCATAATGTTTGCGTCATATTAGACCTCAAGTTCTCTTAATGGGCAAATTCGTATGACGCATTATTACATTCAGTATGCCGGAAACAGTTAATGAAAAGTTGTCTGTGTAAAAGAGTAAATGTCAGTCAGGGTAATGTAGTATTATCAACTGAGTTGATAACGTAAATTGGCCACCGTAAAGAGTTTAAAAGCTGACATTTCGAACGTTAGCCCTTTGTCATTAGCTCTGACGAAGGGCTAACGCTCGAAATGTCAGCTTTTAAACTCTTTTAAACTCGGTGGCCAATTTGCGTTGATAATACTATGTTACTCTGTTGTACTCCCTCACCGACGCAGCACAACAGTTTCTTTAGAAACTTACCCTCCTCTAATTGTCACTTGGTCATGCTAACTGTGGAGATAACTCCATGTCTGCTTTGGGCTTCTTTCGTGTTTAGATCAACAGGGAAAGACGTTTTCTTTGACAGCTATCTTACATCTGCTTGTTAATTTGCATTGGTCAGTGTCTTATGATGAGCGAATTTAACAATGGTTGTATCGGAAGGAAATTGAAAGAAAGCTGAGAGGCTCATTGACTTATTGTATTACTTCAAGTGGACTAGAGTTGGCCCTAAAATCGATTGTTTTGCGGTTGTCAAATAAAATCATTCATATAGCCTGCAAATAGAAGGTGTTTTCAGCACGAAACTACGAGTTCAAAGAAGCCCTCATCTGATTAACTGTACAACAGCAGAAAATGAATCATTCGAACTCTCCGAGGATTGAAAATGCAATTGAATGCAAACACATTTTCTTTAAGTCATCTGTACAGCTATCTGTACCTTGTTCTTACAGAAGCTTCATTATCGCAGCAGTTGTTATCAATTTAGTGGCCAGTCCTTTCACCGTTCTGTTGAACGCCATAGTAATGGTGGCCGTGAAAACCAAGAAACGACTACAAACTCTCCCTAACATCTTGTTGGCAGGTATGGCGCTGACAGATCTTATTTCTGGTCTCATCACCCAACCCTTTTACATAACCGTGACTATTTACCTTGTGAAAGAAAAAACTTTTGGCGGAATTTGTGACATTAATTTGGCTTTTAGCATTTCCTATTTCCTTACATTCTGGACTTCAGTGGTACATTTGTTTTTAATCAGCGGAGAGCGTTACCTCGCCATGAAATACACTTTTTGTTATTACCGCTTCATCACCAAAGGTCGTCTATTGGTAGCGTGTGCTGTGCCGTGGATTACCTCAGCACTTCTCTTTTACACTTTCACACAATCAGCAAAGTGTTTTTACATTCTGGTAGCATCTATCATTTTCACGACGATTTTACTCCACAGACTTGTTTACAAAGAAGCCAAACGGCATGAGGAAAAAATTTCGTTGGAACAAGTTACGATAGAAGCCAGGACCAAATTTCAAGGGGAGAAGAAAGCCCTCAAAGTAACATCGATCATTTTCGTCGCAATATTTCTTTGTTGCGTTTTGCCAGTTGCTGTCAGGACCATAACATGGAACGTTTTGAGCAGGCATTTTTCGAGCGATACAAAAACATTCTTTCGTCAGGCTAGCATGTTGCTGTCGTTTACCAACTCGCTGGTCAACCCTGTTATTTATACAGTACGAAAGAGAGAGTTTCGATTTGCTTTTAGGGAGTTGCTTCTAGCAAAATGTTTTAAGGATACTGTGGACGTGAAAAGGAGCTTCAGTGTATTTCGTTTAAGAAAAAGTATCGTAAACCCAGAAGATCAACGGGGAGATGAAACAACCACCACAACCAAAGAACGAGGCTCGCACTGAAGAGTTAAAAAAAAAGGAAACATACGCTTAAAAGCCTTGAAATTATCACTCGAAGGCAGTTATGAACTGAAGTGGAAACAGTTTTTTTTAGGTTTTGGAAAATATTTTTCGGTTGGTGTCTTTTTTTAAGGTGATGGCAAGACAGACAAACCACAAAATGAACATCACATCTCCGCTGAGAAATAGGTACCTGATAGGTATACGTATGTGCTGCAACAGGAAGTTACTTTTTTGCGGTTCTATTCGTGATCAAGTAATATTGTTGATTGTCCTGATTTATTTCCTACAACAACTGAACACTGTTCGCTAACTGATGTAGTGAACGGCAAGAATATTAATTACGATACTTTTAAGACTATTTTTAAAAGAACGTTTGTCGTGACACGAGAGAAGCGTGGTGGAAATGGTTGATGCATACAGAATTCCAAATAAAATATGGTCTCTGACGACAATGTTTAGTAGGAAATCAGGTGTTTCTCTGAAAGACTAGTTGTATCAAATTAATTATACTCTGAAACCCTCCCTTAAATTTGCAAGACAAAAAAAACGATATCGCAGATCAACTTGTGATTACAGGGTAATATATTTAGTGTTTTTGCGGCACACTTCTCTCTACATATTTTTTCGTAAGTTTATAGCCTTGAAAAGCTGTAACTAGAAACCTTCTGGTTGGTTGCCGTTTGTAATTAAATTAACACGCGAGTGAAATGTTTACATTTTGGTGAATTAACCTGTGCCTGTGCGTGTTTTACTAACTATGGGCTTTCAGTAAAAAAAAAGTCACTTTTCAGAATACATATTATCCCTCTACGCCCTAACATCAGTAGGCATATTCTTCACTCTGTTTTCTGTTCATCTCCTGAGGTGCTGACATAGAGAAAGTGTGTAACAACCAAGGGCTTCTTTAATTCGTGACCACTTCCCTTATTCTCGTAACCTTAAGCATTCAGGGGTGATTTTCAGGGAGAAATAAGATACTAATAAATCTTGGGGGTTGAAGGGTTAAAGCATTGCCATAACTTGATTGCGATCATTTTACCTTCTAGGTACCAGACTATTCTAACCACGATCCGCTCAGTCGTGCTGCTTCTTTTGGGTTGGGTCCATTCCATTTTCTGGGCATTTGCACCGCAGTTCGGTTGGGGCGAGGTTGTTTATCAGCCCAAGACCTCCACCTGCCGTCCAAACTGGGGCGCAAAGGGACTGGCGAATAGAGTGTATACTCTCGGTCTGGCATTGTTGCCATTTGGTGCTCCAGTGATCTGTATGATATACTGTTACTGTAGAATCTTCTTTGTGGCTCGGTACCACGTGAGAGAGATTAAAAAGAACTCAGTGAATACGCCAGGCTCCAACACGATTGGCCAAAGAGCCATGGAAACCAAGGCTATGAAGACGCTGCTAATTGTTCTCGGAGCCTTTGTCGTTTCCTGGCTTCCATACACAGTATTGTCGATGGCCAAGATGATTTCCAAAGGATCTTGGGAATTCTCGAGCAGTATTCTGAACGCAGTGCTCACCATTACGCTCCTAAATGGTTGTGTGAACCCAGTGATCTACGCTATTCGAGACAAGAGGTTTTGCAAAGGAATGAAACGTATGCTATGTCCGCTGGCGCGAAAAGACTCTCAAGACTTCAACAGCTATCTGTCCAGTAGGAGAGATACAACGAAAGAAACGAAAGCGGAGAATTTCGAAATGGGAAACATCAACTTTGCTCAAGAAAGTTGAAATGACAGACGAATAAGGAAATCCCATATATAGAGAGAAAAACGAAAAAAGCATCCTATGAATCTTCGTCTTTGTTCCGCTATTAACAAGAACAAAAGCACAGTATTCTTGGAAATTCCTAAATTGCATTGGTTTCCCTTTTCCTATCTTCCTCAATGGCGGATAAGAAAACTCGCGCCGTCCGCTCAACCAGTCAAGATGCAAATCTGAAAGCAATAATGACTTGGACTCTCATTTTCCCGCGCTTTAGGACGTTTGCACGTGATTACTTCGTGTTCACTTTGATCTGCACTTCAGACTTTGGTATTAACTCTACGACATAGAATCGAAAAGTGTTGCAAAATCATAGCATTTCCCACCATTATGAATTCAACTGAGATGGACTTCAAAGCATATACTTTGACTTTACTTTAATTGTAAAATTAAGTGAGCTAAAATAAATTACAGTCTTCCTGATTACAACAAGGGAAACACACCTCTCCCCAATTGTTCGACGAACGCTTGATTTAAATTATTAACTTAAGTCAAAATATCAATTTTTTTCTGATTGAATTTAAATTGAATTTATTGTTATGTAAACTATATTCTTTTATATGATAAGCTGAATCCTACAAGGGTCTTAACTGGTTCTAAATAATGATCTATTGGAGGACAGACACATAGATCACTTCACCATTAACAAAATTTTGCTTTTTAATCAGATAACACAAATAGGCTCCATGTTGCCGTGGGTGTGTTCAGCAATAGATCACAAAGACGCCAAAATGTGGCATACTAACATCATAACATCAGTGACATACTCGACTGCTCCTCCTTTACGTTGCCATGTTCTTACCACATTTTAACCCTTTCACTCCCAAGATCTCTTTAGTAATTCTCCTAAATAACTTCCATACAACTCCTATGATTTTGGTTCTGAGAATTTGTTATTGGATCAACTTATAATCCCCAATTGATATTTCTCTCTATTCTCATCACTTTTCTGCTTGATATTGTATGGATACTGTCAGGAGAAATTCTGTCTTAGTCACTCGTGGGAGTTACAGGGTTAACGTCATCTGTGATCTGTTACTAAACAGACGCACGGCAATATGGAATCTATCTGTAAACCCTTTACACCCTAACATCAGTATTCATATTCTCCATACTATCTCTGTACATCTCTTCAGTTTCTGAAAAGGAGAATTTGTTGAACAATCAAGAGCTTCTTAAGTTATTGATCATTTCCCTTATTCTCATGACCTTAATGTTTTATTCAGGGGGGATCTTGAAACGAGAAATTAGATACCAGTCCCCTTAGAGGTTAAAGGATTAATTGGAATATAAGGCTGCGTCAGCCATCCAAGATTAGTTAACCTTTTGTAGCATTCCACATTTGATTTTTTGTACTTTACCTCCATAAAATATGTCACAAATGAAATGCCACTAATTCTAACAGAATGTCGACCAGACGTTACGTTTCGATATGTGTACATGCACAATGACAATAAAAAAAGTGACACCGAATAAAAAATGTTACTGACATAAATAAACTTTGAAAATTTGGGAACAAAATAACTATACACGCATTCCGGATAGCGCTGAATATTAAGCATGGCCTTCTTGGAATTTCCGAGGCGGATTTTTTGAAGACAACACTTACGTCCGGAACACCATGCTTCCTAGCGAGCTTACGTTAGTGTTTTTGTTTATTTGTTTGTTTTCTATGTTTCACAACACGGAACATTCAGGTAACTTGCTATGAGAAAATGACCAACGAAACACTTCTAACCACGAAAGATAAACTCTTATGGTTACCTCGTGAATTTTTTGAGGAAGTTTTAAAAAAACACTTTTACAAAGTAAAAAGTATTTTCTGTTTTATGTGCACTATTTTGATAGTTAAAGGTCAAGAGGTAAAAAAGAAAAACATTCAAATGATGCGACAAGTGTCCGAACGTCTGACCATTTTTTTTCTCACACAGCCGCCCACTTAGTTTGCGCGATGAATTCGAAATAAAATCGAATGTTTCCCAAGGAAAAAATCTCATATTTGTGTGATTTATGTTTTTGATCATAAGTTGGTATTCATATTTTCGTCAAATCGTCAAAATCACTTGCACCATCAG